ATAAGAAAACAACCATAAAAGAACTTAAGAAGTAAACACTAGGAGGCGGAAGAGGGAGAAAAGAAAACATGATACAAAAACCAAAATAGAAAAATCTAAGCAAAAGGTAAACAAACACAAAGCCACAGAGTCCAAAAATGTCACTCCGTGACAAAAATGTTTAATGTTTTGTCTTTTAGGTGTCTCTTATCTAAGAAATGCAAAACAAATATTCAAAGCCCTTAACCTTTTTACATTTTGTCACATGAGAACCATAAACTTCAATTTCTTTTATTAGGATTTTATTTGATAGACAAGCACAAGCTAGCAAATATGGTGAAGAGGAAGGAAAATGATAAATACTGTATGTTTCTCAGTGTTTTACAAAAAAAAAATCTGGTATGTCAGTAGTGCATTTGTCTTCATCTTTCATTTCTCTAATACTCTTACATAAAATCCAGTGAAACCAAAGTTGTGCAGAAAGAAGGCTTAGGTTATAGGTTATAAAACAGCATCTCAATTTTTGTGAATCTCATGGAGTACTGTTCACTGGTCTTATGAAAATGGAAGGAGTATGGCTCAACTGCAAACCGCCTAAGACAAAAGTGTTTACCTACACTAAGAGGCCTGTCAAGCAGAGCATTAAGACAGAAGTTGCCAAGAGGCACATTGTAACTCTGGGGGAGCTGCAGAGATCCACAGCACAGAGAAGAGTTGACAGGATAACTAGTAGTCATGCACTCAACAAATTTGGCCCTTATTGAAGAGTGGCAAGAGGCAGTGGTGACAATATCATGCTGTGGGGTTACTTTTCTTCAGCAGGGATAGGGAAGCTGATAAGAGTTAATGGGAACATGGATGGAGATAAGAAAAAAAGAAAACAACAGGGTAATCATGGAAGAAAACCTGTTTGACGCTTCTAAAACAACCCTAAACGTGCCGCCAGACCTACAAGGGGATAGTTTAGATCAAATCATATGCATACATATGCATACAAAATGACCCAGTTGATATTGAGACCTAAATCCAATTAAGAATATATCACATAACTTGAAAAATGGGTATGGCGCTTATGGTGTAGGGGTTAAGCGCACCACCATATGCAGAGGCTGCAGTCCTCGAAGCAACTGTCCCAGGTTCGAGTCCTGGACGTGGCGACATTTATCGAATGTCTACCCCTCTTTCCTGTCTGCCTACTGTCAAAAAATAAATAAATAAAGGCCACTAGTGCTGAAAATACAGGTCCTTCTCAAAATATTAGCATATTGTGATAAAGTTCATTATTTTCCATAATGTCATGATGAAAATTTAACATTCATATATTTTAGATTCATTGCACACTAACTGAAATATTTCA